CAGCAGGGTTTGAAGTTCGGAAGGGGCATGTCCGATCTCCCAGAAGGCATGGAATTCCTCGTGAGTCGTGAAGCATATGATTTACCCAGACACTCCATGTATGCCATATATGAATCATATATGCTTACATTGGGGTGGTCTGGGGGGTCAATGTAGGCATATATGGCATACATGGAGTGTCTGGGATACAAGATTCACCAAGTCCATCCAAGTCCAACCATAGTCAAACCTTCAGAGAACTAGCCAGGGAGTATAGGGAGCTTGCAATTGTAGGTGCACCTGATCATGAGATGCGTGCCAGATACAAGTAGATACCTAGCTGATGGCCACTAGCTGCTGAATGTCACGAACAGGGCCCCCGCAATGTAAGTTCTGCATACCCAGTGCCATCACATGCCATCTGCCCGACATCGTTCTCCCACCTCAAGCTTCCAGAAGAACTCGGTGACTTTCGTCACGGTCCTCGGGGGGCAAACCGTCCAGCCGCAAAATCAAAGCCCCCCCGAATCCACTTTCCCGGGAGTACGGTCCAGAGTGTTGAGTCCAAGAGATATCTGCATCCTGCCTAAAAGGCACAAGCATACAGCATCATGAATCCTTCAAGTGGTCTGTTGGAAAACTCTCTCTCTCCCTCCCCTCCCTCCCTCCCCTCCCTCCCGAGTGCACACACGCAGCACTGCAGGTTGACCAACACGCGATGCATGGAGTCTTTATACATTGGGCCAGTGGGTGCTTGCAAAGGGTTCAGTGTAGGTATATTCTTTACATACCCTAATGTCGACGTAGGATTAATCACCCCCACTTCAAGATCAACAAGGTTTGAGATTGGAGGTGTTGGAGAGCAAATCCCCCCAATAAAGGTGATGACCCGATGATGGATGATGGTTGATGGGATTCTGTATGAACCATGAGGCCTGTGTGACGGGTACCCTTTGTGAACTTGAAATCCTTAACAGTTTAAATAAGGGAAAATGAACCAACGTTGCTATCTATAGAGATTTTTAGGGATTGTGGAAGAAAGGTTGCTTGGGAGAACGTTGGCAGCTTAGATTGCAGCTTCTAATGAACGGTTTCTAATTTAACGGGTAGGTTTTGGCGTCAATGTGGAAATTATGGTTTTATATTGAGCAGCGGACAAAATTACTTGTGTAGCCAAATACCATTTGATATGATTATCGTTTTTGGTGGGGTCCATATCGTTCTCCAATGTTTCTCCAAACCGCAGTTAGCATAGCATACCGGCACATAGACAAAAACACAAAATATAACTCACAACCTCAGATTAGAGTCTTAGAGGCTTACAGTGCTTTCTGCACAGGAATGGCACAGCACTTGATTTATGCACTTGGGTTCTTGTGGCACTGGGCTGTGCAAGGATCACAACACATAAGCGGGGACCTAGTAGCTCGGCCCATGAACAAACACTAGTCACTAGTAATGTGGAGAAGTAGGTCTACGGAGTGACTTCTGTGACATTTAGGTTATCGTTTGCTTATCGTTTGGATTATCGTTTGGCAAGTTGTCTGGGGTTATCATTGGTGAAAAGTTGTGCCCATCGGTTTAGCTCAAATATGCTCAAATAAACATGCAAATGCAATAACATATTGTAACCACAAACGTCTTTGTACCCACTACAGTACGTCTTAACAAGATCATCGTTTATTATCGTTTTTGGTGGGGACCATATCGTTTTCCACAGAAACGAAGCCCTCAACATAGGTTTAGGGTCATGCCGTGACTAAATAAGTCAACCAATAATTTTGTCCGTCGCTCGTATAAATTATAAAGTTTATTGTTGGGGGCTCGAGCTGGACTTAATTAATAAGGGGAGGTTACTTAATCCTAGGTGCGCGTCCAAATACCAAGTCAAGCCTGTTCCTTTACCTCCTTGAGTATCTTGAGTAATGTTTTCGCATGACCACCTGCAGTAACATGAGGTCTTTGACCCGTCAAGATAGAGTGTCCGGGCATTGGACCTCTGTGGTTCCTTCCATTGGAAAGGTTCATTGCTGCCAGAAAGAACGACCCAGCATGACCCAGCCATCCGGAAGAATGACCCAGCCATCTCTCAAAGAGCTTCTTGCTGGTGAAGCCCATCGACATGCCAGCCACAGAGACGTCCGTGACCCGCTTCCTGGGATGATGCGGCACGAGGAAAATGCGGCCTGCGGTGTGAAGGATGGTGGGCTTGGTATGAATGAGGGATAATGAGGAAAGCAGCTAGAGACTTGTGGGCTATGGGGGTAACTCTACTGCACACGCGCTTGCACATTGATTGATTCATGATTCAGCACTTCGGGTGATCTACCGCTTTGGACCCCGGTCAAGCATGAGAAAGCCAAAAAAACTGTGCCAAAAGGGAAAGGGCGGGCCAAGTCATGAGAAGCCTTGTATAATTCTTCCAGCACCTATCAGCATCTATCAGCTAGTTATTTATTACTTTTAAGATCTTTTGTATACAGTAAGAGTGTGGAGGCTCAAGCTTCATCCAGCCCTACCATTGATTGGTCCAAATTCCACTGCTACCCTAAGACTGCCTAAGACCTGACCCAAACGGACCCCGATCTTCAGCAAAACCCACCAAAACCACACACCCAGAAACCTCAACGTGCAGCGGAAAGAGCGAAAACCATGCATGACCAAATCCTGGCTGTGGCAACGCCTGCTTCCTGGCCCAGCGGCGTGGGATCTTCCACTTCTCGCGTCTCCTCCCGCAGGTAACTACACCGCTCCTCTGCACGAAAGCGGATTGATACCTCAAGCAGCGTGAGTTCCACGCCATGCGTGGCATGGTGTGGGGGCGGCGCGGTGGGGGCGGCGGCCCACAAGTGGATGAAGTGGATGTACTGGACACACAGGGTCGGTACAGTAAAAAAACAGGGTCGGCGTTCTGCATTGTCTTTCTCTTCACCAACAATGTGTTGTAGTTGTTCTTTGGAGTTTCAAGCGAAGCTTCTGCCCGCCTGCGAAGCTTCTGCCCACCCCTTCGCTTGCCTCAACTTTTCCTGCACTCCGCAAGATTGAGTGAACGGCCATGAATGTCTTCAGTTCAGCAGAAAATCATGTTCCAAACAGTCCAACATGATCCAACATGTTTGCCCATGAAACCATATGAAACCCATGTCCAACAAGTCTCACATATCCAAGCTTCCTGTCCAAGTCCAAGCAGCTGCACACCTTCCCTGTTTGAGACCACAAAGAGCCAACAACCGCAGCGGATCCCAGTCGTCCGCTCCCCCAAAAAATACCGGTCCTTGGTGAGGCCCAAGGAGCTAAGGACGTTCACCTGCGAAGCCAAGGTCAGCAGGGTCGCCCGTTCCACCTTGGCCCGTGGAGAGCGACAAAGAACAAATAACAAAACACAGGGCGGTAGGGTGTTAAAAAAAAAAAGAAACTTGGGTACTCCTGGGCTTAGCTGCTTGGGTGTTGTGCTGCTTAGCTGCTAATTATTCATGGCACTTAAGATGTACAAACCGTAGGGCTGCGGTGAAAAATGCATTCTGTCCGTCGCAATGTTTTCCTGGCCGATGCGATTTCATGCTGCTGGGTCAAGGATCATATGCCAAGCGCTTTTCAGAACATGCCACACTGACTCTTCAACTGCCTAGCGACCAAGCTGAATTTGTCTTCATAGCTATGATGCTCTGAAGAGGGCAGCTGAGCACATTTCTCCGACTCGAGAATTAGCTTCACTTGCTCCATGGCCCTCTGTAGCTTCGCCTTGCGATGCCCACATAGCGTATTGATGTGTAATAGTAATATTGCATATTGTCCCACACATACATATGAGTCAGTCCTGGTATATGATATATGTACGCAGGCCCTCCAACAGTAACAGGCGTTTCGGGAATGCAGGAATGACAGTCACCTTTGGGAGGGTCCTGGGTTTCGAAACTAGGGATGTCTCAATACATGCGTGCCGTGCCAATGGCTGGACCTGGAATTCGCAACGGAAAGGGCGATCTATTCGGAGTGGCTGAAGGTGCCAAAACGTATGCCTTCTTCAAAGTCGGTCAATTCAAAGCCGCGCAAGTCGCTTCGTCAAAAATCTAGTATCCATTGAGGTCTGGCAAGATCTATGGCTCAGGAATCCGGACATACCGGCAAAACAACCATGTACAACACCGAAAGACCAAATCAATGGTGTTGTGGGTCTAAATAGTTCAGGCACACCACACCAATGAAAACTCTGGCGCAAACAAACGTGTATGTACAACGGCTTTTGCAGTGTCCACCTCGAATTGCGACGTCTGCAGCGCAACCGCCATGGCGACAAAAGGGCAGAATTCAATAACGATGAGACTCTACTCTACTGGTCGGAGTAAAACCCTTTGATCCAGAAATCACCTCATCGGCACAATCTGAAAGGAGTCTGAAAATGCAAGACTCTTCTTTGGCACGATGAGTTGAGTCAGTTCGATCAGTGGAAAACACTTGGAGAATTGGCTCAGAATTTGAGTGAATCTCGTGACCTACTATATATATAGAGCCCGGAAATAGAAAAAGTAGATCCCCACTAAAAATGTATTGGACACCGTTTCTATCTATTTGGGGCCCACTAATCGGCCCACTATAGGGCCTATGGTGCCTATGGCGGTTTGTTTTCCAGTACCACCGCACAAAGGTCTGGAAGAGCTACTCGGGTATGGATTGAATGAACCTCTATAGTGACGGAAGATCTCCTGTCAATTCTTTAGCCAAATGAAAAGAAGGGGGAACACAAACAACAAACAAACAAACAAACATTCCAAACATTTCCAAACCATATTGATACAGTATGTGTCGCTGAACATTGCGCCCCGAACTGATCTGGAGCAAGTGGGCATCTCCTGACCTCCAAATGTGTGCCTTTGTAGGCACAATTGAGCTGCATCTCCTGACTCCCAGAACAAGTCGTATAGACTCAGTCGACCTATTTCTCGGGTTTCTCAGGCCTTCATCCGCCACTTCTGTTCCGTTCCTGGTCCGGACCTGCAAACGCACGACGCTCCGTTCGGGACCTGCAAAGTGAAGTCATCACCCTCGGGGCCGCACCACAGCAATTCACCCCCCTGCTCTGGAGACCTCGGGGAGAGTTCTGATGCGCTACGAGGTGTTTTCGATGCGTTGGAGGCTTTTTCGTTTTCGGTTTTTGGAGGTCTTTTTGAACGTTTTGGCTCACGCGACGTAAGTGTCAGGGAGCCTAAGAGTCATCATCTAGAGTCTAGGCTTGTGAAGCCACAAGAGGTCATTTCAATTCCCACCCAAAGATTCCTTTGACCGCCTGGAAGTTGAACGAATCTTGCCCGAGGTGCCAAGAGCTGACCAGGTGAATGGTCACGGCCAAATATCGGACCTGACGCCACAAGACTTGGTCGGGACACCCAACCAATAGCAAGTAACTTATACAGTGTACGAAAACTATGGTGGGATCAGAAAAATCTGTCTTGCTGATGGCGAGATCTGGGAAATAAGTGTAGCGATCAGGTGAGAAAGCCGCCGAGTTACCGAGTTACCTCAAAGATTTCCAGGCCAAACCACCAACCACCTTTTACCGCTTGGTGTACCACCGATGTGTTTAAGTGAGACTCTGCCCATGCAGGACCACCTGAGCATCATCTGCGTGCAGGCCGTAGAAATCACCTTCGCGGAGCCTGGTGAAAAGAGCGTAAAAGCGAAAAGGGAGGATCAAGTGCAGGGGTGCTTGGCAGAAGCAACACCGAACCCACCACCAAGGCATAGTGCTACAGAATTCTCAAACGTATCCAACCTACCCGTGTCTTTGCCAGGAGGTTGGGACAAATGACTTCTTGATTACAGTATATAATATCTATACACTCCCTGAAACCAACATGGAAATGGATGGCGGGCCCAAGGGGGGTCTTCCATGTTTGAACAAGCCTACCCATTCCATCCAGGACCCCCTTGAGGGAGGGAAAGTTCAAATGTAAAATCTCCATCCCATCAAGCCAGGCTAAGCCAGGTGGTCTCTGAAGCTGAAAGCCCCAAAAATTGACCTGGCCACCGCACAGACGAGGAAAAAACCTGCTTGTTACACCAAATGGAGAAAGTACCGAGTACAGTCTCCATCCCTGAAAGCAAGCGAGCTCAGTGTGTCATTGAAAACCACCTTAGGAGTCGGACGGAAGAGCCGACTCCTAAGGGATTCCTGGATCCACAGACCAACCACGCCCAGGTGCCAGGACCAAGAGGGATCATAGCCAGTGACCCAGCTGGGTATACCCGACAGCCTGGGGCGGCCAGGAGGAACACCGACAAAGGGAGGCGCGGCGCTTGTTGTAGGAACTGAACTGATCCAAGTGGAGAGTGTCCCTGACATGCCGTCCATTGAGTCCAGAGACTTCCACGGAAAATGGCGAAGCATAACATGTCCAAAAAGCACACAGATCTCAAGCATCAAATGCTAGGAGCTGCTGCCAGAAGTGCAGTACTGCCGGATGTTGCATCGCTTTCTGGAAAGCCGAGTACCAAGCGTTGTGCTTGTCGCCTTTCCTGTGCCATGGCTGCTATTGAATCTCATGCTTCCGAGCATAGACACAACATATTCAAGATCAATATAATTACAGTAATACAGTTTGCAATTGTTTTGCGCAACTTTATTATACTTTAATACAATGCGATTATTTTTGCTGATAGGATCTGATAGCCAAGTCAGGTCACACCCTCTTGCCAATGCAGATTTGGTGTACGCCTCCAACGGCCCGGCGAACCAACACCTCCACGGGCTTGCGGCTCGCGCTCGATCAAAGCGGCCCGGACCTGCCCACCAAGATGTGCCCGGTGAAGGCGAAGCGTTGCGCGCGCTTCGCCTGGAAGTCGTCCACGACGCGCTTGCAGGGCATAGCTTCCAACGGATCCCAGTCATCTGGTGGATCGGCCAAGGGGCCTTCAGTCCTCGGGGATCAACTCTTGAGATCAGCTGGGGAGTGGGAATTGATGGACATCTTTGACATTCTTCTGTGACCTTGTGTGACTTTAGTGGTACCAAATGGATCATTGGGTCTCTCTAGGCTCCCCTTTGTGGGTATAGAAAAGGAAAAATCACAAACCATCCGTCACGTTTGTTACACATGACTTTCCACACATGCGACTCGGAGCAACCCGGGCCACCCAAAAAACACAAACATGAGTCACATGAGCGGAAACATGGATTTACATGGCCACCTCGAAGCGTAAAAACCTGCAAACTCTTACCTCCCCCTGCGTTAGGAACCCTAAGTAGCCCTACGACACTGCTATGATCACTTTGGGAATGATGAGAACATAGTTTCTGGCCCTACAGTACGGAAATAGGCGCAAAGCAAACACATGAAACCCGTGAATGTGGATCTGCGATGATCTGCGATGATCTGCGGGTTCCTTTCAAATCGCCTCATGTTAGTTCATGTGCTGCATGCTGCTTAATGACTACCCATAAAACACATTACAAGCAACGTGCAGTTGGTTGACAGATTCGACCTGTTTAATGCAATGCTGAAGCACATCGACGCAATTGAACTGGAGATCGAATAACTGAAAGCATTGACGAACTAACAAGCATGGAATCTGAAGTAATCAAACACATGCTCACACAACAATAGACAGGCAAACAAGTGCAATGTCGCCGGCACCCTACCAGGCCCAACCAACCACATACTATGATACAACAAGGACTCAACCAATCATCTCTCACATGGTCGTCAATCTTCAACTGGGCACGGTCGACCGACACGTCAGGCATCAATCGCTGAAAGGGATAGCCACTCTCGTCTTGATCATCTTGTCGGTCACTCAGTTGCTGCATCTGTCCCAGCCTCAGCCGGTGTTCGAAACCTGCCAGGCTATGTCGCGCAACACGGCCAGGCTATGCATCACTCAAGTGAGTAGAAGAGATCCTAACCATCAGGTCACTCCCCAGGTCACCAGCGAGGAGTCGGGTCCTATAACTGAGTCGCCAATGGACTGAACCATGACACATCTGCCAACATGACAGTAGCTGGTGACCCAGATGCAGTGACAGCATGTGACTGCCCATTTTTGTAAAAGGTTTCCAGTCACACGACCTCATATATGATATTCCTCTGGGTTCTAAATGAAGGCAGGGGGTAAGCCCCTCCAGTCACCTAAACACTCAACCCTCACTTGTTGCGTCCTCAGCTCAGCTGAACATCTTCAAATCGCCCTCGGCCCTCGGCCACGGAGCAAGGCTTCTGCAACCGGCTCGAAGAGGAAGTCGCTGACGACGAAGGGTTGGCCATTTTGAAGGGCTTGTCTCAGGCGCTTCAGCAGCCTGATTCATGTGAGGTGGATCAGCTGTCTGTCATTTGTCGAAGCTTTGACAGTAGACAGGCTGGTTTCTGAGAACTTGACGAGCATGCAGTATGCACAGGTTGAAGTCGCCTCTGACCGAGAAACCTCTCACTCGTCTAGAAGGATTCTTGCCGCCGGCATTGGAGTTAGAAATAGCTGTCTTTAGATGTTAAGCCAGGGGAACATCACCAGCACAAGAGGTCCATTTCGAGTGCGCGCTACCATATCTCTGCGATGCTCCAAGACTCTTTCGATCGTTGCTCCAGTGGGCATTCAGAACTCCATGAGGAAATGTCCGGGGATAGGAAGCGCCGTCCTCCTTCATGTGTGCTTCGGCCTCCTGGCACTGGTTTTGTGCAAGAAAGGTCGACGGTTGGCTTTGGCAGGTCATACAGAAAGGGGTCAACGCCACTCTCCGTCGCGAAATTCCGCGTGGTCCGGTCAGCAAATTTCAACTCGCTGAGTCTAACTTGAGGTCTGGGACATGTGACCTTAAAGCAACTAGCATGATCAAGCACCAGCCAGCCATGGGGCAAGGCACATCAAGCCTTGGTCTGGGCTTCTTCAGGCTCACCTCACTAGTTTAAACCAAAAACACATGGTCCCCCTGCACAAAAGAACAACTCGGCGGTTCATACGTTTTTACTCCCAAGTTCCTGCAATGTCAAGACCCGAGACTTGGCAAAGACATGTGGCCAAAGCTGTGCAATGCATGCCAAAGCTGTGCGAAACAGCATGGGCCAAAGACAGGATCTACACTGGCACATGCACACATATAATGTCTATAGAGTGCACTGCTGGTCTCGACTGAACATGCTGCTGCCCACTCCCCACCCACCTGTCTAATCACAACTCGAGCTCAATTTTCGAGTGCCCCTTTCAAGAATCAATACAGATTAGACATATCAAACATTGATCGAACACTATGACTATGATCTATCTATGAGTTCATGGAGAAGCTGCATGCATGTATTTATAGTTTGGTTGGGCAGGGTCGTTGATTGGGGATGTGCCAAATTTTCTGCATGGATGACCATTGCATGCCCAACAAAGCTCTACAAATGGCTGCAAGCACAATTTTGCCAAAAAGCAGCAAAATCCAACAGCCAAGGACTTTGAGAGGCAGCTTCCCTGCCGGGGGTAATTAAATTGATTCTGTTCCTTTGTGTTGCTTTGTTGGCCATAGGAATCATAGGTGAATCAGTTGATCTTGGTATTTGTGGCGTTGACACCTGTACGTGACATCAGGGCTGCCAAATGACTTGAATATAGGCGTCGGACTTTGGCGCCCCGCCTCTAGTGTCTACAGCAGTCTTCCACATTATGTGCGGTGTCCATTAAGTAAAGGAAGCCGCAAAAACACCCCGCACCGCTACTTCCCAGGAAAAGACATGGTGTTTCAGTTTCCAACGACTTCTTGACATTTTATGAAACCATATCCCTGCATACCTGCCGGTCTTGACAACAAGTAGCTGAAGAGGCTAAAGGTCATCACGCAATATCCCAAGAGCTGTACTTAAGGTGACAATGGTGCTACGGTGTTTGTCCTGGTCACACCCTTACACCACCAGGTTGGTCCCGGTCTTTCAATGGCCAATGCACCGCCATGCGCGCGGGTGACGCACCCACTGGGTGACCACCTCTGAGGTTCCCAGCCTTCATCATCATCTCTGCTGCACTGATCAGCCCCGCCATCTGAGGGAAGCTGGGCCCGGGCGTCTGTCCGGCCTGAACAGGGCCGCTGGGGTGGGAACGGAAGCCAAACATGTTTTCAGGAGCTCCCCAGTGGCTGGGGCTCTTTTTGGCTGGGCCGCTGGGGCAGCTTGAACCTCCCCGGGAAGAATCTGGTCCTTGTCGGTCCATGGGTCCCTGAGTCGCTCGAGCCGGCTCGTCCGCGGACGAGCCAGCCAGCTTGATTCTGCCTCACGGGGCGCCTCCTGGCTGGGTGGCTGATACACTCCATTCCACCCAATGACCAACTCCATGTTTTGTGGCCTCGAGCGGACGGCCAAGCAGGCAAGGTAAGCACCATGCCGAGGTAAGGAATGGACATGGGAAAATTAAGGCAAACAAAGAAAGTGGAGCAAGGCCCACCAGTTTCCAGACTAGGCCCGCTTCTCCTGCTACCTTTTGACCTTGATGACCAAGGTCAATACGTTGCAGTAGTTGAAGAGGAATATAAACACAGTCCAATCAATGCACCAAGGTCAGGACACTGTTCCAGCAGGAGCAAATTCAGGGTCCTTCTCCAACTCCTGATGCCGAGCGTAGTGTCCACTTGCAACAAAGGTTGTTCGCCCGGCCGGGCTTTGCAACAGGATTCAGTGTAAATTGCCTGCCCTACAGATTTCCCAGATTGCATTGAACTTCTGGACAGCAAGGTGAGATTGATTCTGCATTTAATTGTTTGCAAATTCATGGACCCTCAAATAGTGCCTACGTCGAGACCAAAGGGTTAAAAGCGGCGACTCTTGTTTTTCGCGCTGCCAAACTGAGTTGCATCTTCATTGAGACGCGCTTGGCACAAAGACCGCATTTAAGATATCCGCCGTTTGTGCCAACCTGAAACAGTAATGCTGCGGACGGCTGCGAAAATATCTTTGGGACAAAGAACGGTTGGTGCTTGCCCGGTTAAAAAGTACAGTTGCAGGAAGCACACCTCAAAGAACAAATGCCCAAACCATGAAAACACCGCCTCAAACGCCCCCCAAACATGAAAACACTAATCATAAAAATTCATACCTGTAAATTAATGATATTTACTTCGTCTAGTATACGTATGCATGAGTGTGTTTTAAGATGTGTATGTACCGCATTGTGCCGCATCAAACGTGGATACATGACTCTCTACGGGTGCGCTCTTCACACCCTCGGAAGAGAATGAGGTCAATCCATGCAGTGGGTTTCCCGGCTCGGAAAAAAGGCGGGAGAAGCACCTCACACAAATGTTCGCTCCGGCGATCTATATTGGAGAAGTGGAGCATGAGATATGAGTCACGTACGTCCTTCACGTACGAGCAAAGATTTGCTTTAAAAATGTGGTGGCGTTAACATCCTTGGGTGCCGACGCAGAACCCTACGGTTGGCCTACGTTTCCACAGTGAAAGCCTACGACAAACATTACTTTTTCTAAAACGCCTACGCAAAACTACGAACGGGAGGTTTTAGAGAAATTTGAAATACTGTTCAAATTTGCCCGACGGTACCATGCAGTTCTTGCAAATCTCCCCATATGTCTTCGACATTAGGAGTACGTCTCAGCACAGCAGGTACTATGGTCTAGTGGACATGGAGGAAGGATCACAAAATGCACTTTTTCCTACGGTGGCTGTACGGAGAACCTACGGTGAGCCTAACAGAAAATTTCCCTTGGGAAAACACTACAAGAGTCCTTTGGGATACTGTTAGGTGTTCTCATCTCCCAAACAGTGGCCTTTCTAAATTCCCTGAGTCCGATTGCTCATGGACAAAAATCAACCAGTTGAGGCACAAAAGCCAAAATCCACTCGAAGTGAATCAGCAGCACAAGCTGGGTGACTTCAAGGCATGCTATTTCAATGGATGCAAGGTCGCCCTTCTTCAAACGCCAACGACAAACATTGCACAACAAAATGCCTACGACCGCCTACGTCCCCAACCAGATGCCCTACCCCACTCTTGCGAAGGTTACATTTTACATATATATATATATAGACCCAAATCAAGCAAAATCTCAGCTCACTTGAGTCATAAGTCATAAGTGATCAGGTTTGACAACGTCGTTCCCTGAGCTGCCCTTGTTTTTGAGGGGCAACACATCTGCTTTGTCAACGATGGACTATTACTACCTCGTAATGCATCAGCAAACATGTTGGGGTCAGTATCCCTCTCTGTGTGTGTGAGGGGTTGTTTGTTGTCCTTTTTGGTGGGCGACACTCATAACCCCAACAGCATGCCCTCACTGCACTAAGTCACTAACAGAAACACCCTGCCAGTGACCTCATATCTGTGGCACAATGCGTCATTCAGGCTGCGGCCCCTGCGCCCGCCTCTCAGGCGGAGTGCGTGACCTGGATGCGACGTTCCCGGAAGAAAGGCACCACAGAAGACGTTCCCCACAAAATCCCATTGTTTTCTTCCGTGGAATCACTGGGGTCGGAATCGGGCAATGTGACATAATCTCACAACTCACAGTTGCATTGACACAAGTCCGCCTTAGTATACCTCCAACGCTCAGGTGCCATGATCTCCATCTCAACCACCTGGGTGGGGCGTAGGCAGAATGGCTTGGCCACACGAGATAGATGCGTATTACAGTCGATGAGTGGGTGAATCAGTCAGTCAGCCCTTTAACATCCTTAGCAACCAAGAGAAAAGTCGACTGAGAAAACAAGAAAAGGCAACAGTCAATAGTGTGGTTTCTGCTGGGTCGCCATCAAAGATCATCAAACAATATGGTTCAACTGTGAACCAATCTGGTCAAAAACCTGCGAAACAACCCTGAAGAGATTCCCGGCACCCAAACCATCCCAAACCCACGTAGGCTGCCCTCCCACCGGGAAGTAGCTCGCCTGCGAGCGCAACTCCTCCCTCATCCGCGGCACATCCTGCGAGACACCGTTCACAGACACCTCGCAGGACGAGGAGGTGGGAGGTCGCATGTCTTCTTCGGCACCCCAATTCCCTCCAGAATCTCTATTACCCTAGCCTAGAACTATTCTGATGTTGTGACTACAATTGGCATCAAAGCATTTCGGAAAGTCCTTCGCGGGTCTTTTAAAGACACATTGAAACATAGTTTTGGACTCCATGAGTGCAGTGGCTTAGGGGATTGACTTTGGGTACAACCGAAAAGCTCTTGAGAAGAATGTCAGGACAATGACAACTGACAATTGTTATATTTACATATATAAATATATTATATAAATATATTAAACTCTTCCGTGGCTCAGATCTTGGATTTAAATTTAGATTGTCTTTCGAATCAGCTGAACCTGGCTGGCTGCGAAGGCTACACGACCTCTAAGATGTTTGTCAATATGTCAACAAAGGCCACAACTCCTAAAAGCGTGTTGCAATGTGTTGCAAATTCAAGTGTGCTGCCCCTCTGCTGCCCCAGACCCATGGTGCTGTCAGGATGTCTTTATATAAACAAATCTGGATTGCGGTGTGTCGTCATTCACTCTCTAAGTAGGGCCGGACGGCTAGTTTCAATTCAAACGCTACGACTATGTGGAGAATATGTGTAGGGCTCGTGTCTCGACGGAGTGCGTGAGGCTCCTGAGGTCGAAAGACGGCCGCAGAACGTCTGAGGTCCAAGCAATGGCAGATTGCACCGGCACGGCCATTCCTGGCCAACGCAGTGGGCTCACGAGGTTCAGCCAACTTGATGGAGTGCTCACTGCAGCAAGGCAACCTACACTGTCTGTGTGAATCAGCCAGCAACGATGTATGGCTTTGGGATATGCACACAGTGACAGTTCCTTCATGTTCCTTCAATCCTCAAGCTATAGACCGCTGCACGCACGCGGTCTATAGAGTCGATGCCGTCGTCTACACCGGCGTCTCCTTCCAGTGATGACCCGTTCGCTCCCCACGAGTTCCTTCCGGTGCAGTGGCATTCCAATGGCCCAAAGCTCCCTCCCTGATCCAGCTGATGACTAGAACCTCAGCGCCAGCGCTGTAGCGCCCGCTGATTGCTTGCTTTGACGGTTTCAACTCAGCATGCCATGCAGCTGTGCAACCCTGCGATTCACCACACGTAGGACGAACAAGAAAACACCATCAGCAACCAGCAGTGCTAGCAGCTACTAGTAGTGTGCTAGAGGGGTGTCCCTACTACTCAGCCTAGTCGCTGGCGCATCCCGCGGTCCAGCCACCACGTTGCCGAAGCCCAAGCGCTCCATCCCAGGACGCCGCTCCAAGCGCACGACGTGGCGCGGCGCCTGCGAAGGGCGTCCGCTGGGTGAAGCAACCTCAACCTGAACCACGCAACCCCGCAATGCCCTCAGGATTCTTGGCACAACTGTACAAACTCAGTTGAACTGTCATGGGTTCAATATGGTTCAATAGTTCAACTCCTCAGGATTCTTGGCAGTTGGAGCCATCTTGAAGTATGTTTTGTCATGTTGAACTCAGTTGAACTCCCGTACAAGAAAGTGAGCTTCTTGCCACCCACCCTGCTAAATGAAAAAGCTTCTGCAAGTAATCCATCACCGCCCCCCTGAACTGTCATAGAAACCCTCCAACACCTCTGAGTCCTTCCAAACCAACAGCCAAAAAGCCCAAAGCCCCACCTTCTGAGCCTGTGATGTGCCCTGACAGCAAAGGAGAGGGTGCTTCGCAAAGTTGCAGCAGCGCTCCTCCCGTACCTCAGCCTGACCAAAGGCGCTCAGCCGCTCGAACTGAAGACCCTCCACAGGGTCTTGAGTCGCAGCAGTTGGTAAGAAATCCCTCTGGACCAAGATCAACCAGCTGCAACCCACTCCTTTTCTGTTGCGTTGTTGTCGGTGATGTGCACGAAGCCGTACTGGTCAATACAAAGACGACTGAAACACTGCAGTCGACAACAGCGACCGGTTGGCCTTACCAGGTATGGCCACGAAGACCGGTGGTCACTTTTCACCCGCTGGATGCTTTTCCGCTCCCCATGCCCACACCTGATCGATGGGTGGCAGCGATGGGCTGCCACTGCGAAGGCCACGAGCACTGCGCGGCGCCTCCTCCTCTCCTGGTGGAGGATGTTGATAGATTGATAGATGTTTGATAAAAATAATGCACGAGATCCGCCAGTCCGAAATCGGACTGGATTCGGTGACCTGTTGGAGAGTCGTGGTTGTGCTTTCCGCATCTTAGATACCCTTCCAAAGAAGTACGGGTCAGCACGATGTTCAATCAAGGACTACGACATACTATGACATACTACGACCGGCTGGTCGCTCCTTGCTCAAACCTCCGAACTCCTGTGAAATGGAAATCGGTGTGTTTTCGCCTGATTGATTCATGTTGATTCATCACGCGGCCTTGCTCCCTTGCATCACGCCGTCGCGGAGGAAGGCTTGTCCTACGAAGCAGTGGGAGGACAAGCGGAGCGTCCCCCCTATCCTTTGCAACGGCGGCGGTTTGCAAAATTCGCATCTGATTGAACAGCATTAATATTTGCGTTTTTGGTGGTCACCCTGAACCTCCCTTAACATAAAAGAAAAGAAAGGAACATGAAAGATTAAACAAAATGAATGAATATGAAGTGGTTCCAGTTCTTGGTTTTTTGTGGTCTTTCATCATTATTACTTTATCTAGGATTTCATATTCCCTTTTGTTGATTCTTAAGTTTACAGCCATTATTTTATTGGTTCCTATTATATATATATATATCTTAATCTATTTGTGGTCTCTTACAATTTTTTGCCAAACAGTCCAACCGTTTTCTTGGAGTACTTCTTGGCTTATACCCTTCATGTGTGTTTATTGTTTTTAATGGCGTTCTCTTATTGTAAAGGGTATATCTTGGAATTAAACATATTTATTACATGTTATCTACCATCCCCTTATGTTCATGATAGCAAAGTAACAGTGTGGCTCGAAGGTCCGGGAGGAATTCAACCGACCAAACGATCGGGCCGGTGACCGCGAACAATTGAATGCTCAAGTGAACATGGTCGACATGTCAGTCACCGGGTGCCCATTTGACTTTGACTTGGATGAATGTCCAAATCTGCACAGGGCCAGGCTCTTTTCACTTGACCCTTTTGTGACAAGGCTCGCTTGCTGGCGCTGCAGGTTTTCCCTGTAGAAGTCCTCTGGCATGATCCTCTCACCTGGGTCATTCTGAATATATAATTAGGTGCTACGAGTACCCTATGGTAAGCACCTCACCCACAAAAGCCCTGCACTTCGCATTTGCACAAGTTATTAACACACAAATCCTGAAAAGTATTTCAAACACTTGCTGCTTCAAAAGGAACATGGTTTTCGGGCTATGAAGCATGCGTGTTTTCAGTGCACACCTTGCAATGGAGTGGTGTGTTTTTTTTGGCATGCTCTTTTGTTATCAATAACAGGTCTTTTGCAAAACATAGTATATGGTATATGTTCACAAAATGGCATGATAATGATACACAAACGTGACGCAGGTGTGTCGGCCAAACATGACGTGGCCTTTGTAGTCACTGAGTCATGGCTAGAAAGCCACACAAAAACAAAGGTGCTCGGATCCAAACCCGTAATTACCAGTACCACATGTCAGGATGAGAGCAACAAACATACTTTCTTCATCTCAATTGGCAGTTTCCAACAGCAACTTCAACACATGTCGGGCCGGGTGCCTATACCGCCTCTACCACTCCCGTTCTTGAGTCAAGTTCTTGAGACTTCTGTGACGTGATCAGGGGAGGATCCCCCGGCCAAATGAATGGAATAAAACGTCCAGGGAAAAACCGCTCATCCTCATCCAGCCCCAGGGGGGTGGACCGCCTAGGGTATCCCTTGCTAGGTAAGGCCTATAGAGCCACTGGTAAGGCCGTATACTAGGTAAGGATGATCCTGTCTGAGGTTAGTACCCACAGTTCTCGGCTGACCTCCCCCACCAAGCCCACTCCCCCTTTCCTAACAATATCAAATCCCTTTCAGTCGAATCCATTTTGTCGCCTCTTCCCACCGATTTCGACACTCTCTCCCCAGCCACGGCCGTGCTTCCGGCGCCGCAACAGGTGCTCCATCCGCTTCTGGCGCTCAAGCTGTGAGGCCGGCGCAGGTGGGGCAAAGGCTTCCCTGGAAAAACGGGCGGCAGTAGAGCTCCGACGGCCTGGATGGGATTGGGTTTACCATGCTTGACCTACCTGGAACAACTCAGTATGCTCGATTTTTTGGTCCTTTTACCTTTTCACTGTCCTTCTCCAACAATCTGGTTGTGCACATCTTGACCTCGATTCATGTAAAGCTGTCGTGAAACGAAGCTTCTTGGTGGCAGCGAGACATGCCTTGCCTTGAGGGGCCCGTCTGGAGTCGAGCTTGGTTGCATCACCAAGCTGAACATTACAAAGGGTAGCAAGTCCTTCTGCAAAGTCGTGTAGTTCCTTGCCAACCATACGTACGCCGCCATCGTTGGACGACAGAAATCAAACTGTTCGAGTTGCAAAGCACACATGACATGACCATGTGACAGATCCCGTCCATCCATTTACATGATCAATCTCATTCTGGCGACCTTTGGGCATCCACCCACCCAACCACCAGCTCAAAGTTGCGCCACACCTAATTAGTACTGTCTCCGGAAAAACAACGCCCTCCATCCCAAGCATCCCAAGTGTTGTCTCCTGCCTGTGGATGGCTGCCCAGTGGTGCGCGCCCGTGACATCGGCTCCATCCACGTCGGCTTGGTCGGCGTCAACTCCGTCGTTCTCGTTCCTGGAGCGAATCACCAGGCCTTGGTGGGATAAGGGAAGAACAGAACGCCGCGGGGGGCGGTCAGCAAACCGGAGCTGGTCATACCAAATGAATTGTTGACAATATTTATATAATATATATTCAAGTCCAGTTGCTTCTAGGTCCTTTCCAATTGGTATCTGGGTCTAGAGTATGAGGAGGATTCATGAAGGTTGATTCACTTCTCGCTGCCGGCCGCTGCATCTTTTTGACCAAAGTGGTGGCGGCGGTCTTTGCCTGCGACACTTGGATGCATCAGTGCCCAACATCCAAGTTTAGCTGATACCCCCAAACTGCCGCCCTAGCGTTCGGTCAGAAACTTCCCAAGAGCAGGATGGTCATGGTCAGCCGTGGTCATGATCCACCTCACAGTGAACTCAAATATTGGCTGAACGGAACCTGATGAACATATGAGATATGAGAAACTGTGAGAGATCTCTTGCATCGAGCTACTCAAGCACACTAAATTGCCACCGGGTAGCTGGGCACGCTGTTTGTTAGCATAGTGACGGATCGCATCACCCTCCAAGCCATCCTTTTTTGCCTTCTTCCAAGCAGTAGAGTAGACCTCACATGTGGCTGAAGCCGGTTGAAAAAAAACAAATGGGTGTGAGAAAGCGTGGGAGAAGGAGACTCACTTTTTGCTCAGCAAAGGATAGACAAAGAATTTATAATAAGAATATGCAAACAGCATATCCTGCATCCAAATCACTGAATGAGCTTTCTTCACCAGGCGCTTTGCCTTTGCGGCCTCATCCTCGAACTCATCCTGTTTTAGATCTGCTGCTGCTGCTGCTTTTGCTGCTGTGGAGGTATTGGATCGTCGACGGGATGCCATTGCCTTCGCACTTGGCTTGCCCTTAGGCGCAGCCTTTCTCTTGGATGATCCGCTTGACTGTTCAAATTCCACTGCCTTCGGTGCCACCTTGCCACGCTTGGAATGCTTGGCATGCTTACGATGCTCGCAGGCCTTCTTGGCTGCCCTCAAAATCGTCAATCTGTGGGAGAGAGGTGAGAGGACCTGACAGTTCTTCCCCTTAACCTTAGAGGCTGTCCCCCTCTTCTTCTTCTTGCCGGATCGCTTTTCAAGGATCTTTGCAATCCTATCAGCCTCTTCAGGGAGCTCGCCTGCCTGAAACCTAGGGCAAGGAGTGGAGCCCTTCAGGATTCCCACCAGAGTGGAGTACTTCCTTGCCAAATTCTTTGAAGTGACAGGTGCAGTCAGGATCTCCTGAGCTGCGTCCATCTCTTTCTTGGAAGCAGAGGCTTCCTGAGCTTCCATAGGGGTTCCATTCAAAGCCTCAGGAGTTTCAGCCGCTGATTCCTGGAAGAGTCCGTCAGAGTCATTTCCAGCGGTTGTTTCAGCCACTGGTGGGTGCTGATTCTGGCTTGGATGATGTTCATCATCGCCACCATTTCCACTGGAAGCCTCATCAATTTCAACTATTGGTTCCTGCGCACTCTCTTCGATGTGTTCTGGATGGTACTCAGCACCAGCGGGCCCCTGTGAAGTCCCACAAATTTCTGCCGCTGGTTCCTGCGTGCTTTCATGAGTGGTGTTTGGGTGGATGAATGGCTCAAGAAGGCTGAGACAATCGGTAATGGCATCATGGGTTTTCTGCACTTGTTCTCGTGTGACCCACCCTTCCTCAGACTTGACGGAGGCATCAGGTGCTGCTTCAGAATCCGGAAGTTCCAAAGTCTCCTCCTCCACCGGCTGATAGGGGTCCTGGGCGAAGACAAAGACTCTAAAGTCAGCAAGGCAAAACTTGTTTAAAGAGAGATAGAGGGTCACAGAGAGAGAGAGAGAGAGAGAGAGAGAGAGACAGACATAGAGAGAAAGAGAGGCAAGAGTGTCTCGTGGCCTTTCTTTAAAACACATGACGTGTGAATACTGGACCCCAGCCTCAGCAATGTTTTGCGGAGTCTGCGTGTCAGCATCCGGTAGCGTCTCCTCGGTCACGGAAGAAAATGTTTCCAATCCCCCCCACTCAATTTCAAAAATGTTGTTGACATGTTGTTGACCTTCATAGTTAAACCAGCATGGCTCGATATATGTCATGGGTATCTGGCGGCCAAGTCTCAGGAACACTTGGCGCAGATGGGCTGCCATTCAGTCCAGATCTGTCATCGAGGCCTGCCTTCAGCGGTTGGGGAAACCAGGGAGTGAAACGAGGGAGGCGGCAGTGAGCTGGAAACACATCAGGAATTGTCAGCTGGAATATGGCCAAGATCAGAATTACAATTCATCCAAGCTTCCTGGAAAGATTTCATGGCCGATTCAGGGGTCGGCAATCCCAATTGGTTGTCTGGCCAATCGAGAGATTCTGACTTGGGCCTTGGCGCATCAGGTGTGGATTTCATTGGTTGCTAGCCTTGCCATTCACAATTCAATACTAAAAACAATATGCATAAGCCAGTCATAATAAAGCGGTTCACGCCAAGAAACATCTTAGCAGGTGTTTGTATGACGTTCTGTGCTTGTTCACCTTCTTGCTGGTCTTCCTGGATCAGTGCTTAGAACAGGTGATCCCTCACGCAATCAGTTTTGGTTAATTACAGCACACAAACTGACGGCCATTATTCACAAGTGGTTGATGGCAACTCAATCAGTCCTTTGCCTTCTTCTTACTGCGGGTAGATGGCTTTCTCTTCGCTGCAGCTTTGGAAGCTGTAGCAGGTTTCTTGTAGGATTTCGAGGATTTCAAGTCCTTTGGGACATGATCATCTCCCCTACTACCACCATCGCCATCAGAACCATTGTCATCCTGATCATCATCATGACCCCCCAGTGGCTCAGGCTCAGATTCCCCTTCCTCTTGATCATCCTTATTCTGGTTGGCTTTTCGTTTGGCTGATTTGGATGGTTTTTTCATGACCTGTGCAGCACCCCCACCATTGGCAGATGATGACTCAGAGGCTGCAACGCGGCCAGGTAGAGCATGATGACTGCCACTGGCCTTTGGACCTCCCGGGAAAGAACCATCATCATTTGTGCAACCCTGATCTATCCACGCCTCCCAGGGGCACAAAGCTGCTGCGCGAAGCAGAGACAGGTGGCTGGGAAGAGGGCGGGCGATGTGGAGTTTCCAAATTGGCGGAAGACATCATCCGCTGCATATTGAAAGCCTCAACCAGTACAGCGTTGTTTATGATGGATGTTTTCGCAAAATCCTGAGTCCAAATAAACGGATTGCAAACTGATAGCACTTCTTTTGACAACACGACTTGGGATTGCGAAGTGTGAAGTTACGTTTAGACACTTGCAAAAAACACGTGGTTCAACTAAATTCTTGGCAAAGGACCGGTGGTCGAAAAGTCGAGGTCAACGGCACTTCTTGAACGGACTCAGCATCACTGTTCTCATTGTCATGGGACCTATTTGCCATGGCCCCACAATTGCAAAATCCTTTCTTTCACGGCTAACTGAGCAAAATGCCTGAAAAAGGCAAGGAGCGCATGTAGCTGCTAAGTCATCAGTATGTGTTCAGCAAGACTTGATTAGGGTCATAGTTATAGTGAAAGCTAAAGAAAGAACATTGACTATGAGTGTACACCGGGAGTGCATGGCGTTTTGTGTTTCTCCACCTGACCCTCGCAAGGGTTCAAATCATTCGCTGCTACTGAACTTGCCAGGAGCTCGGTCTGAAGGATGCAAGATCGACATCACGGTGCAGGAGAGAGTGATTCAACCGGTTGTCAGTTCTTACTTACGATGACGTATGCATGACTAAGCTCCATCAAGCTGATCGTGTTCATGGGAGACTAGGCACTACACTCAGGTTGAGTGATTCCCAGTCTTGTCAAAATCAAGATTCATCGGACCACCCCCTCTTTCCCACAAACATGGAATTCCAATTTATACAGTTTCTGGGATTCAATCATGAATGACCAAAACTCTTGAAACAGAGATAGGGTGACCCAAACTCTTCAATCTACCTACACCAAGCGAATGACACCTTCATTCACATCGACCTGTGACGCCAAGCATAGGACAGGTCGGATGGGGGTGATGACCTTGACGCCGTTCGTGTTGCTGCTATCCAACCTTCGCTCCGCTTGGCTGGGTGGAATGTGTTATCAAAAAACATGGCCGATCGGCCCATCGGGTGCCGGAAGCTGTTTGAAGTAATGTGGAGTGATAGAAACAGTGAAACAGTGCGACGTTAATACAAGAAACCGGCATCTCCAAGCGATTCTGACTGTGTCCGAAGCGGTCTTCAATTTCGAGACTGAAAGAAAAGAACCAAAGTTCTTGGCGGTCAGCTGGGTCCCTTTGGCTCCCTTCTTGCCTTTCTTTTTAGATACCGAGATGATGTCCTGGGGCGGCTCGTCCAAGCAAAACACCAAAGGCTTCGAAGATGTGAAGGTTCCGCTTTCCTCTTTGTGGTGAGATAGCTCAAGCTTCACCTAAGCCACAATCAAGCAGGCTTTTGATCTAAGTAAGGGGTATCGGCGGTATCGGAATGAGTGAATTCATGGTGTCATATATAACAAAGTGAAGTTCATAGTAAATCTGACAAAGGAACCTCTCCAGCGTCCTGTAGATCACAGATCAAGCTCTGTAGGGTCACTGCGGTGTCTACACATTCCAGCTTGGCCAAATGGTTGGCGAGATCCTTCCGCTCCAGAACAAAGAAAGTCTCTGCAGCGGAAACTGTGAAGGAGAACCATCTCCCTTCAGCATTGGCCAAGACCTCGTCCGCTTCCTTAGATTGGGGGTGGAGATGGTGGAGAACAGGGATTGGAAGAACAGAGCAATCGCCAGGACTGAGATCTTTCACATGATACCAACTCCAATGAGGAGTGGTAGAGGTTGAAGACTGCAACTTGTTCAGTAAAGAGGCCGCTGCGTCTCTCCACTCGCCCCCACCAAAGGAGCACCTGAGTTGGGATGTTGGGGAAAGGCGGGAAAGCCTCAACTGGGTCAATCAAGGTTCATCAAGGTTCCTTCGGATTCCTGGACATCACACACTTCATTGCAAATGAGGCACAGTTCCCTGTTCTCAAAGAATTGATTCCGTGATCGAGACGAAATGAAAAGTGAGTCCCCAGACTCACCAGCCAGAATCAGGTCACAGGCATTGTTGATGGACAGCTTCATCCTAGCAGGAGCAGATTTGAACACAGCATGTGTGTAAAGGCATTCTCATGCTAGTTTACCAACTGATGATCATGGTTGAGGCCAATCCCAAACGCACGAAGAATGACACACTAGACCCTGTGAATGCTAAGCGAATAATTAAGGTCCCTGATCGATCTTGGCTACTAGATTGGGCATGGTCAAGTACAATGTAATGGAATGTAGGACTCACACCTTTGTTATGTGCAAACCGTTGCCATGGGCCTACTTCTCAGTCACTTCACTTCTCACTCATTTTTGCAGACTAGCGTCACCTTGGGCATCTTGGATATGTCCTGCTCGGTCATCGTCTCGAGTTTGATCCGCTTTGCAGGTGGTGGCTCTGTTTTGATCTCTGCTTCTTCCGTCCTGTCCGAGAACAGTGAATGCAGAATAGTCTAGTACTCAGCACTCAGCACCCAGAATAGTTTAATTGACTGTCCACACGAGGGTTTATATAATAACTATAATCCACTTTAAGGAAACATGTTGAGAGAACTGTTGAGAGACTGACACAGCTCCTCTCTTCCATCCAGTACTTCTCAGTGGGATTGAACTCTTTGTTGTGGTCTTCGATGACTTGCTGGGCTCGCTCCTTGGTGGATTCCGTGGCAAGCCATTTCTTGGCATACACCTCCAAGATGTAGAGGGCGTCATGTTGTTGAGCTGAAACTCTATAGGATTTGTGCCGATCAACAACATTCTGGCTGCGAAGAGCAGATAGCACAGGTTCGAAGGCTGGAAATCCAGGAAGGTTGAGTGATTGGGACCGACAACTCTCATAGATTTTGTTCCCAACTCTCTGCAGCATATCTGCGCCTGTGTGGTCAAGACATATAGTCCCGCACACGCTTCTTTTGCCAGAGGCAATGTCCTGCGACGCGCAGTTATGACCACAACCAAGAGTTCAATCCCACTGAGAAGTATTGGATGGAAGAGAGGAGCTGTGTCAGTCTCTCAACATGTTTCCTTACAGTGCGTTACTTAGTACAGTTATCCCCTTGTGTGGACGGACAGTCAAGTAACATTTCAATCCGTGTACTGAGTACCGGGGTCTATCAGGTTGAAGCAGAACTGAAAGCACTGACACAATGACCTAAGAATTTGAGTGAAGGCCTTGATAATCAAACAAAGCGATACAAAGTCAAAACACGGATCGAAGTAAGACAGTTTCCTTCAAGCAATCTTTAGGCCTGGCCAAGACATGGGTTAATTGGGTTAACGCATACTCCCCCTCCTCAACGCAAGACAGGGCAGGGCAGCCATCGTAGCCATGCAAATCCATCATTGCAATCGCTCCCACTGAGGGGACGGAGAAACTCTGCAGCGTCTTTTGGATGAAGTCCGTGCCCCCAGCAACCTGGGGACAAGTTGAAATGGATTGCATGGCCAAACCTAGCAGTGGATGTCACATCGGATTCTCAATTCTATATTGTTCATGTGATTCATGTGTGTGTGGCTGTAGTCTAGTAGTCATCTTAGATGATCAATTGCTGTGGGCGAATGCATGTATAAGTTTGTTCGAAGGAGGAATCCATAAGTCAAGTATGAAATTAAGCCGGTCAGTTTCTTGATGCTCTCACTCTGGACAAGGCACTTGCCTTTGTTCTTGCACATCGGTGAAAGCACGCCCCAGGTGAGGCACCGACTTTCTTGGGCTCACCTGAAGCGATTGAATCAGCGGGAGGTCTCAGATGGTGTGAAGCTGGAGCCCGTGTAAAGTCGATCCAAGCAAATGAAGCATTTTACAGTAAACATTTTTTTAAAACTAAATCAAGATACGTGGTCTGGCTTTACCATCTCAGAGCGCTGCAGCATCGAAATGCTGTGGACCACCCCGGTCTTGAAGCCGCGCGTTTGACGGAAGATATTCTTGGGGTTGTTGCTCACGACACAGAGCCCTTGAAGAGCTCCCTCTCGCTTTCCGTACACGGACTCCTCGGGTTCACAAGTAGGTCCCAAGATTGAACACAAATGGTTTCCAACATAAATTACAATGTACATGTCAACCGAAAGCAAAGGCAAGTGGCTGGTTCGAAGACGAAGGTCACGTTCTTGACTTTGAGATTGCGCTCAGGCAGCGAAAGGTCATTCCTCAGGATGTTCCGTGTACAAGTCCAACAGCATAATGATGGACTTGTTGAAATCAGATCGTGGGTGCTGGGTTCCAACTAAAACCGCACGGCCAGTAGTTGGATATGACATTAATATTCTTTTGATTTTTGAAGGTGCAATGGATATCTCATGACATGTGAATGGAAGTCATGCGCTTGACGAAGCAATTGTTGTAACATATTGTAACCATGGCTCTCCAGATTGAAGCGAACCCTGCGAACCAAGTCGTCATGTTCACCTCGTTTTGCTTTGCCATCGTCCGAATCGTCATCAGAGCCAGCATCATCATCATCCTCCTTCGTTTTGACTTTGGTTTCCATGTCCTCATCCTCAGCTTCTTTCTTCGCTCCAGGTTTCCTGCGATCAAGGAAGGCCAGCTGTTGGAAAGATCGAGGCAGTCAAGGGGTGGGCCGATCCATGCACTGAACCAATACAGGTCGGACCCAGACGTAGTAACATGATGATAGTCATGATGATTTGGATAAGTGGCCATTATGGAGTTCCAAGATTTGAACCCTTTATATTGCCTGCCCAAGATCGCCAAAGTGCCTAGCAAAAGTTTCACCCATCCCTATAAAGAGAAATTCAGGCTTTGGAGATTGGCTGTTTTCAAATTGTTTGTTACCAAGTCAGTGTTTTTAGAACAACGGTGTTGTGAGGATGACTCTTGCACAAGGTGAGCGCAGACCGTGTCTCCCAACTACACTGACCCCCCCACTCCTGCCATCTGTATGCCCTGCACGATTGGGGTGCACCACAAAGCAAATACTGTTGAGCGGGAAGTCGCTCAGAACGTTCGATATGTAGTTCAGGATGAAGCTCATGCGCCCCGCGCTGATCACACCAAGGGCAGGACAATTCAACCAAAGGATCACTGCATGGTCCTCCGGGGAGTTTCCCATCTCGGTTGTCATCTCGCGAAGCCATGCCCGGCTTGCTGGCGTCACAGTAGATTCAGCCTCAGACGATTTCCCGCAAAATTGGGCGAGGTTCTCCTTCATGAAGGCCGAAACACATTCCCAAGCCCTGGTGTGGCACTCCTTCCGTGGGGAGGTAGGCGAAATGTCAACTGATATGGGAATCTCCCCCAACTGATGTGGGAAACTCCCCAACTGATGTTAACAAAAACGATTCACCCTAACTTGATTGTTTCTGCACTGGTATAACTGGTATACAAATTTCGTATTTCCAAAATAGTATATGTTCTATAGTTCCCACACCACCCAGTCCTCAAGCTGCCGAATGATCTTGTTCCTTGCCTTGGCACCCTCCTTTTCCATCCTTGGTGCGATCCGGCATAATTATGTGGGGGAATAATTGAGGCGAACTATATATTATGCAGATCTTTGGTCATGACAGAGAGGATATTGGGGAAAAAACAACATCAAACAAAAAATAGACACAGACAAACAGAAATAAGCAAAGGCTCAACACCTTCTCACTGCTGAATTGGGCTTGGTCGGCTCGCAACTCCTCAACCCAAGCGACAAAAGACGCTTCGAGAGCCTTGGACATAGCATTTCTGCTTTTATCCTGGTGTGAGTGCACATAGGTCTCCATGGTCTTCCCCGTCGCCTCAACGGGCCAACATGGGCCAACGAAAAACGTGGGACGCTTAATTGAAACATGTGGTTCCAATATGATGATTTGGAGTAAGTCAACAAACTTGAGACGAGACCTGACCAACATCAGCCATCATGTTACGGACAAAAAAGTCACATCCGAGAAACTTCAAGGATAAATGGGACACGCCCCCATTCAAACTCCTCACCGCTCTTCATCAAGGTGCTGATGTCGCTATCCAACAGCCTGAAGCAGGCAAACTCATTTGTCAGTAAAATTTTTGTTGAACATATTTGATGGTAGTCCTTTACAACATTGTTAAAGCCTTGGAACAAGGAATCACAGTTTGTCCAGATGTAGCGGTATTTTTGCTTGGGTCATAAACCACTTTAAAATCAATCACATTTTGTGTTCAAAATCTATCTTCAAAATGTGACGGGATTTCTAGAAATCCCTCGATAAAACCCTAGGTTTACCTATATATCAATCAAAGCGGATTCACAAAAAAAAGCCCCCAATCATGATTGACATGCTGCTTGTATATTAGAATTGCGACGGGATTTCTAGAAATCCCTTGAAGATTTTGAAGTTAAATCCAAGGTCGAAAAGTGATTGGTTTTGAAAGCCAAATGCATTTGGCGGCCAATCACGTCATTTCCAGAAATCCCTCGATTGCTAGCCAAACCCATTTGGCCAATCATCCCCGGCCAAATACATTTGGCGCCCACCAATTTCAGAAAGGCATAAACACATAATAGTAATAAAATGGCAAGGCACCCCTGTTGAAAAAGCTGGTCGTGCTGGGTCAATAGCTCTCCTGGGAAATGCAGTTCCATGTGCTTGCGAAGATACAGCCAGCAGCAAGTCACATCGTGCAGTTCCATTTGTGCTTGTTCCCCCAGCTGCGCCATTTTCTGACAAGGTTTACAAAATCAAATCACAAATAGACTGTCCCTCAAGATCCCTCAAAACCAAAAAGGACATAGAATATAAAAAACTCAAATCCAACTTTAAAACCACCTCTCCTTCGCTTTGGAGGTTGCATCCCTGGGCACCTTGCGGCTGAAGTCCTTGAGGGTTGTTGGTTCAGAAGGTAACCCACTACTGGAGAAAACACTGGATAACCCACGCCAATTAACACAGCATTCTAAAAAGATCCTTTGATACCTAACATGTGTGGCTGGTATCCTGGATCGCCCTGGTGAAGTAGAGCAAGCACGATTGATGCGACGTTGTCAGGATCTCCCTGAAGAGAGCTTTGCCCTTGAACCGATCCAAATCCTGCCTCGAGCTGCAACCTGGCACCCAATAGTCCATTGTCAACACTTCGTGTGGGATTCCTGCTCAGGGCTGAATGGGGACTTTTTAAACATGCGTGATACCATGATTAAACACGTCGTGAAACGCAGGTACACAAAGATTTAGACAGCTTTGCCTGACTGCTCGTGTTTGTATTGATCGTAATGGGCATGGAGCAAGGTAAACAATTCTGGCGGCCCTCGCAACCTAAACCGGACAATGGGTGACAAACAACATTGTGGTAGCATGCGGTAGCATTATGGTGTGGCGCCCCTTTGGTCAAAAAATGTCCATAAAAACTATCATCAACAACTGAGGCACAGGTTGTATATGAGGGAACGCCGGCTGGAATCTATCCGGTGTTTCTTGACCGTTGTCATTTTGTTATAGTCTGCAACGCAGCGAGAGAGCAAGTCTTTCAACGCAGCTTTCGATGATGATCGTGATGCCCGGCGCTCGACAGCAATTGCAGCGTTGATGTCAGCTGCAATGGTAATGGGGCTAGGCGTCAGCTTTTCACTTGTCACATAGCCCAATTCTGGGTAGAAGGATCAAAGGATAACAAAGGACGGGTGAAATCCATTTGGACCGCCTAAAAACGGGTTTGATAAAAGATATTGTCCCTTTAGTTTTGACGGCTTGTTCTTCAAAATGTTCATCGAATGAATGATCAACACCAAATTAATAGATTCCTGTCACTGTAAATTTACTGGATAAGACAAGGAACTGAGGCTGTGGAGAAAATGGTGGGACTCGTTCTCAAAAAATTCAAAGTGGCACCTGATTGAGATGAAGGTGCTCAACACATGGGCAAGTGGGGAGGTCGAAATGTCCGCCTCCGTCAGCTCCAGCTCTGAGCAAAATCCAACGATGGCTAGCATGATCAAGACCTTCGTCTGTCCGTCAACAAACTTGACCGTGTGGACATTGAGGGACCGGTCACCAGCTCCATGGTCAAAGCGAACGTCGACACTTCCCATGCTGGGCTTGTAACCATTCCGGAGAAACTCATAGAAATGGATGTTGAACTGCTGATTGCTAGGATAGACTGCAGGGAGCCGTCAATTGTAAAATATCAAACAAACAGATTTAAAACTCGCTTTTAATGTTGAAATCTCTTAGTTGAGGGACAACTTTGATTTTCGACACCCCCCACATCCATTCTTGCCATCAGTGGAGTAGTCAAAATGCTTCAGCGACAGCCAACACTCATCCAGACTGTCATTGGGAATCGAGGTCAGATATGCTCTTCCAAAAGGCACGTCAGCCCTAGACTCGACGTACGTCTCAATTGCCTGAGAATTGAAACTTTAAAATGACCGACTACCACCTGACTTAACACGTGACTTGAGTACTTCTATAAGCTAAGCATTTTCCATACAAGTGTGACCTTGTCCAACTTTGCAGGATCCGCAAATACACTGGCAAGATGTTGTCCCAGATTCTTTTCTGCAATCACCTTAGTCATATTAACGAATGAGAAGGTGAGACGCAAACCTGGCATAAGCTGAGGGCTTGCAGGGTTCCAAAACTTTGAAAACATGAGATGATCCTTGAACATAAACCGAAGGACAGATTCGAAATGGGTCTTCAACTGTAGAATTGGCCCTGAATCTTGTGGATCTCCATCGGCCGACATGGCGTAAGCCAGCAAGCCCAAGAAAAGTCAAGGGGCTAGCTTTTTGAACAAAACAGGCTTATGACATATCGAACGAGGTCTTGAACACAATCTCGATCACCCGTACTATGTTAATCGATATTGAAGAGCTGCATTGCACAAAGATGTTTTCCCCCTCACCCCCGGGAGAAAGTTCACGACCGCCTGTGAAACGTAACTTCCAACCTGTGTGGAATCAAAGCGGATTTGGGAGGACCCAGCTCAAAGTCATGTGGACAAAGGCCTTCATCGGGGATGTTGTCCAGGAAGCTCAGGTGAGTGTAAGGTTCCAAGTTCTCCTCAGGCTTTCTCTCAAGAAGCGATTGATACCAAGCAGCTGCCCTATTCAGCTGTGGAAAGTCCCGCCGAAGTGCAATCATCAGCTTCCTGATCTCAGCCCTCCTCTCGTCTGTGAACTCAGGACGCAACAAAGTTTGGGTGGTGTTGGCAATCCCCAAAAAGTGCTTCGACCGCTGATGCAGCGCAGCCGGCCACACCAACAAAGGTTCTTGGCTCAGTTTCTCATCGGACATCTCGTGCTTCACTAGACAGAATAAGTCCTTGCGAGCTTCTCTTGCATCTGAAGACCTCAAATCCCTGGGCACACGCTCAGACAAGCCCACTCCACGACCTTCCCCGGGCAAACCTAGGAAGGCCAAGGAAGCCGGCTCTATTAAGTCAACAAACACCGATGTAAACAAAGAGTGCTGCAAGAAGAATACAAGGAGAACATTAGTTTTGATACTACACACTTTCCAGGAAACTCCCTCGTGTCGCATAGATGAATGTATGTGGTACCGGCTTGGGATCATTCTCGTTGTCCTTCAGCTTGCGGACCCTCATGGCGTTCTTGAAGGTGACGGAGTCTGGAGCGAGTTCGGCCCAATCCCTTACCTTGATTGATGGCATGTTTGAACTGCATATGGGAGTTAATGGACGGTAATGGAAACTTAGACCCTTGATCTGAAACCTTTGAAAGTTCCAATGTCATGCAAATAAAGTCTAAAGGATTTGTCAAGCTTAGTTGCTTTCCCGACCACTTCCACATCCAAATCGACACCCCGTGCCCGAAAAGTTGTAAAGAGCTTTTCCCGCAGGCAGTTTGCAACGTCTCGGGGTGTTTGTAGGGTCTGAGCTCCATCAATCGCTGACTTGCAAAGGGCTAAAACTCCGTCAACGTCCTCGTGAGTATGTCCAACTTCCAAAAAGTGCTGGCTGGCGGTCCGCCAGACTCCACCCATAGTCAAGGAGCTCAAAATCCTTGCAGCATATGTGTTGCGACATTCTTTGACTGTGTTGTCGCTTTGCAGCCAGAACCTAAAGTAGATCAATGGCTTAACATATAAGATTGACCAGTAGGTTCTAAAATGCTTTAGACAGTGAGAGAAATGCAGGCATTGGGCCAAAAAAGAATCAAAGCTGACTTTGATTAGGAAAGAGGCTCTACGGGCCATTTCTTATTACGAGCTCTCGTTCGCACGAAGACCTTTTGCAACGATCTCATCACCTGCAGCCAATTCAAAGTTGAAGTCAAAGCTTCATAATGAACAACGTCCATAAACCCTTGAAGGACACCCAAAAGTCAAAAATATCTGGTATACAGCCAGACCACACACTCCCACTGCCAGCTGGACCCGCTACTCATAGCTTCGTCGCAGATGTAGAGGTAGCAACCATGCCCGTGCATGATGCAGGCAGTCAATGTCAAAGAGACCCCTCAGGAAGTCAGAATCGATCTAAAGTTAAAAGTCTTAAGCCCAGCAACTAAAAAAACACATCACATAAATCAAATTTTATTAACCATTGAAGCCCAAATTCTTTGGCAAAGCTCATACTCTGTTCGCTTGGGGGTTCTCTTCATTGGGAACGTAGGGATCAACAGCTTGGATTTGTCGTAAGAATCAATAATGGCGCACAATAGATCCCCCTCAGTCTGGCTCCGAGCTCTCGCGGTCCAGTACCGCTGTCTGTTTGCCCATTGGATGTTGTAATGTTGGAGGAGCTCGTCGCATAGTCTTGCATGCCGTTCGAAATCCTAGAATTCCATGGGGAGCCCACGGCATGTGGTCGTTTCATCCGATGATTCGACATGTTTGATCTTGAAACCCGTTTCATGCAACAGACCGGTCCCACCCCTATTGTAGGCCAAGGGTCTTTACAGCCATGAATCAAACTCTTGAGCCTGCTGCATTCAAAGCAAAGCGAATGCTCTGTCTTCCTCCGAAACCTCAGGCATGGTCTCCAGAGCTTCGCCACGTTGTAGAACGTGGATCGTGAGGCCGCTCCTGAGGGGTCTCCTGTGGTTCGGATGTATGCCAAGTACATCAAAAATAGTGAACTTGTGGACCCAGGCGGTAGTTCTCGCAAAGGTAAGGCTTTGATAGAGGACTCCAACATGATTTGCGCTGTTCCCCCCAAAAGCTCTCGGTCAATCAGCTTCCGTAGGAGTTCTTCCCGAAGCTCAGCATCTGTTTTTGACCGGCTTGCTGTTTCAGCCGATTCAAACCTTTGGTTGACAAAAGCAAGAAGCAAAAAGTATGGAGTTCCTTTAACAGCAGAAACAGGGATTCAAAAATGTCATGGGATCCTTTATAAACCTTATCACTTACCTCGTAACCAAGAAGCCTGGTCGGCATTGATTCTGCAGCCGTCCAGTACATGTGTTGAAAGAAGGACATGCAGGATGCTGTTTGCTCCGCTGGAGGGGCTGTTTGTCCTGAATTATGATGGGAGAGCCCTGAATGAAGCAGTATGATACTAAAGATATATGACTTGTACATATCCGAGGTCAAAGTATTTAGTGGATAAACAAAAATATACAAAATACCGGAAACCAAGATTCCCTGATTGATGCTCCTTTCATCTAAACCACGAAACTTGCGCTTTGTACGCGTCAGCCTTGCCTTCCCAACGCCCAGGAACCGCAGCCAGGCTTCGCGGCAGAGTTGGTGCCCTGAAGAGCAGGCATGAGGCAGATGGGGGACCAAGGTGCTTTTTGACCGGAAGGAGTGATGGTGTTTTAACATGTTTTAACTTTCAAAAACTAAGTCCATCCAACCCTCTCCTTCTATACTCCATGTTGCAGATCGTCCACTTTCACACTGCAAGCTCCAAAGAACAGCATCTTGTTGTGACTTTGGTAAACCCCAAAAAACCTTGCAGCATCGGGATAGCACTGCAAAGGGCATTGTGCACTTGCACGGACACGGGGGGCTCCTCAAACATCGTTTGATTCTGTCCAGACATGCCCCATTTTCAGCAAATGTTGACTGATCTGTAGCGCCGTTCAGCTGATGATAGGATTCCAAGTTGCATACCTTCAGGTCCACAGATGATGTTCCAGTCTGGTGGTCGGCATCGTCGTCGGAGTCAGAATCAGAATCCTGATCAGAGTTCCTTAGTGATATTAGTGGGGCTGGCTGCTTGCTGAAACTAGGCTAACAACTAGTGGAAACTTGAAACAATGCATACTTGAAACAGTGGCTTCAAAACTCGAATTGATCCAAGCTCAGTCTAGAAACTCTGAATTTGAATTTGCACATGAATTGGTTTCTGAACTGTCATCATACCGCCATGCCCCAGAACGTTGAGCAGGTTGAACACGACCATCATCATCGGCGTTCCATCGAAACAGGACAGGCATGGGAACCCAAAGATTTCCAGGCTGACTGCATCTAGTCGAAACATATGGTGTTAACAATCTATTTTTGGGGGGTGGTATTGTGTCTTAATCATTCCCTCCGGCGTTTTGGTTATAATCTTTATCCATGAAATGCTAGTGCTTCCCCCGCGCATCAACAGCTAAGACTAAGAGCAGTTCAGAAACTGAGGGAAGCGGGTTAGTTGAACCACTTGAATCAATCAAAGTGCATCAATCAATCAGAATCCTTCATTCACGCTGCGTGTTTCTTTTCCCACATCTAATTGAATTGGACTTCAAATTAGTCCAGGTATGCACGGAGCTTTGCAGGGTTGACGGCTTTCATCAGGATCAGCATCACGACGAAAAGGGCCCGCATGGCCATAGCATTGCCAGTCATTCGGAAGAGGTCCTTTGCATTCGAAACAAGAAGATATGACAAAGTGCTGTTTGAGAGCCTGAAATTTGCCACTTGAACTACCCACTACACCACTGGCAAAGTGTGATGAATGCCATAAAGCATGAAGTCCAAAAGCAACCCAGGTGCTCTGTCTTTGTACCGATCCAACAGCAGGGAATCCACCGGAAGGCCCATCAAAGTCATCGCCTCGATACCTGACCAGGAGCACTTTTGAAGCTGCAGAAATGAGAGGATGAGAGATGCCCTGGCAACACAGCTAGCCTGTCAAGAAGCGTTGTTGGCCAGTTAGAAGAATTGAAGCATTGGGCCTCAAACCATGCCGACTGAGAGGTTTTAGATGGTTCTAGGGGAAGCACATTTTCAGGTGAACATCTTGTTAGCAGCCTGAGGGATGCACGTTAAACACATCAATGGCTTCGAAGGTTTTCCTCTCGGCGGCTTTGGAACGACACTCATCCTACCCAGGGATTGGCTCGTGTTTGCAGCCAAGAATTTTCCATATTGCTTCGCCGTCTTGTCCAAAGCCTTAGTTGTTTCTATTCTATAATATACTTTTGGATCTTTTGGTAACGGTTGCAGTGCAAACTTGCCCATTCATTATGAAACCAAGGGGCATCAAGTTCCCTCGCAGAATTGATTTGTGCTGGAAGTCTAGGATAAAGTCGCCGGAAGCACCCAGAAGACCCTTTGACCTAGAGCCGGGCTCGAAAGACATGTTTTCATGTTTTCCTGGGCCACTGGGGGGCCATGCGAAACATGACAGACAAAAACACAATATGCGCTTGAGAAGCCTTGAATTTCTTTGCCCATGTCCTGTGCTGAAGCTTCCATTTGGGAATCTTCTTCACCTTCTTTGACTTGTTTCGCCTAAGCTAGAAACTTCAGGAGTGAATCAGGACACCGACGTATGAGATACAGTAATTCCTTCCTTCGGGTCATCAGCTTATCAACAAACCAAGTAGCTTCAGCTTGCGTTGGCATCGGCGACGAATAACCTGTTGCACCCTCCAGTGATCTTCAGGCAGCAATAAGTCTTGCCTAAGTTCCCATAGAGGTGTGGATTAGGGGGGATTTCAAATCTCATGAATGACAAGTTCAAGAATGATGGTTGCTCCAAGGTACCAGTCAACTTTGCAGTTTTTTTCAAGAGCTGTTGCCATAGAAGATGCATATGTCTGGAAATCCCGCCGGGCAGCCTTCGTCATCAAATCAGTCCTAGCCATCAAAATCCAAACACGATCGCGAGTGATGGGAGCTCCATAGTTCTTCCTCGGATAAAGCCAGATCACTGATTCCCAAAGTTTTTGAACCAATCATGTTCAAACCACTGCGGTAGAGCTACGCGTCCACCTCCAACACTGCAATTTGGTACCTGGGTGCAGTGGTGGCATGACCTTCCCAACCCAACCACTGTCTCTTGTCTTGTGATTCACGTTGCCAGGGCATTGTTTCACTTTACCAATCTATGATTGGCAAGCCACTCTGGAAGATTCTCTTGCAGGACCTCCAAGAGCTTGTCGAGGACACGGTAGAGTCCACGAACATTTTCAAGTAGCACTGCCTTAATACACATGTCCGGTTTCTTTATATGATTTGGTGCCACCCCAATTCTGAGTCAATCTAATGAACAAATCGGCTCAGGAAATCAGCACGCATCTAAAAGGTTGGACAAGCTACACCTGGACTGGCTTCTTTCACATTTCGAATGCATTGCCACATGGGTTTGGCAGCTTCTTCCTCGAGTAGACGGGTTCCCCAATGCAATAAGGAGTACGGAGTGCAAGGGAAGCCTGCGCAGTACAGGCCCACCTCAGGGCAGGGTGCCAAATATGAACTATGTGTTCCATCAAGACTAATGAAATAAGATCTATCAATCATCAGCAAGATGGTGCCTTGCCTTGCGGTGATTTTGAGAAGAGTCGACATCGAAAACATCAGTGCAGCACCTGAGTGCAAAATGATACTTAGTCAAAAACTACTCTGAGACTTGAAGCTGTGACTCCTCCAAAACTTAAGCAAGATACTGGATAGGGTCTCCATGGTTAAGACGAAGGAAGTCCATTGCGATCTTGTTCTTCTCGGAGCAGCTCCTGAGCAACACGGGTGGACACACCACACAATCCACACACTATATTCTGCATGTTTTGTGGACATATTGACTTATGTTTTGAGTTGAGTTTCATATGCTTCACCAGATGGTCTTTGTTCTTGAAAAGCTTCCGGAGAGCCATCAGCGGAGTGTCCATGCCCGAACCTTCTGCAAAAGTGGGGCTCGGAAAAGGTGCTCGGAGAAGAAACGGGTGGAGTAAAGTGGGCGCAGTGCAGCCAGGGTGCAGTCACTGGCATATCCAAAAGTGCCATTCCAGCGTCGAAGCCACTCATCAAAGCCTCAACTGTTCGATGCAAAGGATGTTGCACCAACTGTTCGATGACTGAAGACAGGAAACCAGCTGCTTTTGCAAATTCATCCTCGCAATGCACATATTGCTGCTGCAAAGGGGTCAGCTCCTGCCAATCAAGAGGATAACTAGTACTAGTGGGAATATCTATGATGTATCCGCTCCTCGTACTCATCATCAGATGATGAGTCCACCTCCCGCCAAACACCCATGGCTGCCACCGTTTTTGATCTTAAATGACAGCGGGCATTCACCTGCAGGCAGACCCAGATGGGTTTTGGATAAGACCCGGTTGCTGTCGCATTTGAATATATATATATATATATAACATAATTTTACATATGATGCATATGAATCATGTGAATAACAGATCACTGAATAAAGCATAACCATGAATTAACCTGTAGGCCATTGTATGCGGGTAGGCTGCGGTTTCTTTGCGTTGTTTGTTTTGGTGTTCGTCATCATTGGATGGATACTGCGACAAAACAAACAAATGTTTTTCACCTCTGAGATCAGCCACCTTCGAGCCTTCTGCCCAACTCGGACGAGTGCATCACAGAAGATGTGATAAGATCTGTCGCAAGCAGGTGACGTTGGAACAAAAAAAGAAAACCGAAACGGTGGCAGTTGAATGAACCCAAACACTCCATGTCTGTCATATATGCCGCCGACCCCTCGTATCACCACCCCAATTGATTGGTAAATATACCGATCCCATGGAGTGTTTGGGACCTCTAGTTCCTGTTCGTCTTGCCGAACCGCTTCCTCGAACGGCTGCCGGCTTGACCCGAAGGACCCCGAAGGACCCCGAAGGACCCCGAAGGACCCCGAAGGAATTCGAAGGACTCCGAAGGACCCCGAAGGACCCGAGTGTCCGGCGCTGAGCACGACCTTTGCGAAGACCATATGGCTGTATAAGTCTGTAAGGGTATGTGGGTATGTATGTCTGTATGTCTGTATGAGTATGTAAGACCATATGTCTGTAGGAGCGGTGTCTTGGATACATGGAGATTGGATGAGATTAGGCTGTGGGTCAAGTACCAGGATGCCTTCGTTGACCTACCTGAAAGGATCCTGGTAGGTCAAGCTTGGTGGACGCTCCAGGCGTTCACCCATCGCCATGTAACTTCCGCCATGCCATTGGAACATGTCAACAGAACCCCCTTGGCCTTTCACGCAGCTTCGCTCTTCCGGCTGTGCTCTGACACTGATATTGAGATACCAGGAAGCAATCCATGAAAAATCCAATCACTTCAACCCCAAATCCATCTCGTGACGACATCGTGGGTAAGCGTCGGCACAAACCCCAAGATGTCGTTTTGTTTTGTCGTGGTTCCATGGCACAACCACCAAAGTGGGGGATGGTGCGACCTCCCTCATACTCTGAAAACACTGTAGACTGAACAATTCGACGCAAATGGTGCTCAAATCCAACATGCCTAGGGGTATATGTAGGTGACGAATGTGAGGAACTGCGGGCTGAAGTAATTCAATCAAGCCACGCTTAGGTGGCAAAGGAACGGCAGGTTTCCTGCGACCGAACGCATCCTAGGAAATCGTTTCCGACAAGGCCTGGGCAATCGACCCATTGAAGAAATTATGACCAATTCACTTCACCTCAAGCATGAGAAGCCCAACTCGGCAATCCCAAAAAGACTTGCATGCAGCATGCTGCTGAGCTGCTTCCTTGAGCCTTTGTGGGTCTCCTTCATACTCTTTCTCTGCGCAGACTCACACACACCCCACTGGGGTTGGATTGCTTTCAACGAAATGTGAAACATATCTACCAAGCCTACCAAACCACATGCCGCATGTCCAAATACTCCAAACATCTCCAGACAACATTTTTTTAGTTGACCCCTTGTGACCTTGTGAGTGCTGCCCATGGGCCTGGCCTCCGTGTATTGGGCGGCTGCAGCACTGGTGTCGTCCGCTCAGGGGTGTCGTCTGGGTCGACCTCCGGCAATCATTCATCAACACCCACCTGATGGTTATCCAGTGGCGTTTACGAACACAACAAGTTGCCATGACACTCCACTGCTTGAGACACCGCGAACAGGTGCCAAACAAATTCAGAAGCACAGCTCCGTCATGATTCGTTGATGTTCGTTGTGTCACCGCCCATCTTCTATCCAAATCCATGTCATTCCATGCCCCATAGCACAACAGGCCGTGCACGGAGCCACCTGCACCTTGGGCGGCACAAGCATGCTAGTCACATCCACCTGCTCTTCCACCTGGTCGCCACGAGTTGGCCAAACGTCTGGGAGACGCAAACAGCCTCCAGCATCTCCTAAGAATGCGCCTAAAGATACTGAAACTGTTGGACATCTAGGCTGCGATCCACTCTATCAAGCATACAAGACAAGCTGGTGATTAGGTACTTTAATTCTCCACGTGTCAGTCCAGTCCAAAAAAGCAGTCGCTCAAAAAGCATCGCAAAGGGGCGCCCGGACCCCCCGGACCACCTCCAGCTGTGGCAACGGCTCGGGAGCGGGCCACGCGGGAAGCGGCTGCGGCAAGGCACGCTGCGCCAGAAAGCCACCGCTGACGCTCACCTGCGGCGTGACCGGCGCGGTCGGATCGCTGGTTGGGATGGACCAGCAGGACCAGGAGGACCAGGCGGCACGCGCGTGGCACGGCCGATCACGGAATCTGCTGGAATCCCAAGATTGACCATACGACCTTGGGAACGGGACTGGGAGTTCATGTCCTTTTCAGTTCTTCTTCTCTTGTTGACCATTTCGTAAGTTCGATCTTGTGATGAGACGAGGGCTCGGTTTGGAAGGCTCCAATTGGAACGAGCATGAACGAGCGACAAGGTTCCATGTCCAACCAAAATCGTCGGAACTGAGTGTAAACGCCCCTGACCATCCTCCTGATTGGCCTCAATTGGCCTGCTTGGAACAATCCATCAACAGAATCGGTGCTCAAATCGTCACATCATGTGGATTCTTGATGAATCAACCCCCGAGAACTCCGACCACTGATGAAAGCCACGGCTTATGAAGCATGGACAGTAGCCCAATGGACAGTCCAACTGCTTGACACCAACAACATCCACATGAAGGCTACAACAGGGTGCGCCAACAAAAACGTGCTGATGCCTGTTGAAGATTGGTGCATGAAACCAACTGAAATAGGACATGTCCCTTTGCTTATGCATGCTTATGCATTGCGTTGAGTGTTGCAGCGTGGTCTTTGAGAACGGCAAATCTCTCCACATAGAGATAAGCGTGGTCGATCCACTCCAGAAAGGTCACACCTCCGGCATCTGGTACTTCCACTCCTCCTCGCACATCCATGCGTATGAGAGGTACTCGGGAGATGCGCCTGCCATCAAACAAAACATATCAAAACATCAACCAAGACTGCAAACCAATCTAATCTGGCTGGATGCCAAAGTGTCCAGAGTTGAAAAACATCACAAAATGGATAGGACTCCAAAGAATGCCTCAGGAACTCTCAAGTCAAGCCTGCCTCAAAGGCAGCGGCGGTCACCTAAATGATGATCATTGTTCAACTATGAACGGGAAAATGGTCAACCCCCTCCATGTTTGTGGCACAGCCACCCAGTTGTGGTGACACCCACCCCGTCTGCCCCCTTTGCTTCGATGCCGGCCGTGGCCTTGCTGGGTCGTCCAGTTTCCGTTACTCATTTCGTCGTTACTCGTGGTACTCAGGAGATGCACGATGCTTGGCATTGTGCACTGACGTGGACCAGGGCTGTGCCGGACTCTGCCCCCGGTATCGGACACCAAAGCATGCATGTCCGCTTCATATGCAACATGTCCATTAAAGGACACAGCTTCCGATACTTTCCACAATTGGATTGCTTTCGTTCATATTTGGGGATAAATATTTTCTTGTATGGTCCCAGTTGGTTGAGGTTATCGTTTATTAGGAGTCTGGAAGTGGAAGAGTCTCCAGCCCAGCCCTGAATGGAACTGCCGCATGCCACTGCCAGATTGAGGTCTCACGCCTCATCCGAGGGACATCGGCCCATGCAGAGTAACAACGCAAAACCGATTGAGAAGAATTCCTAATCACTATATGCAAGCAAGCTCCCAATGGAACTGCAATTTTGAGTGGCTCAAAATCTTAAGAAAATACTGCTCACTAAGCAAGCGAAGCTCCAAAGAAATCCGCTCACGCTACCTTGTTGCACATCAAGGTTCATCAAAAAAGGGAACTGACATGAACTGACTAAATGATATTATAACTAATTACAGTACAACTGTCGTGGAGAAGGGTAAAAGCCAAGCCTAGGCCCACTCCGTCATAGTTCCATAGCATGATAGCAACAAAACAATCTAGCTTAAAAACAAACGACACGAATGCAGCTCAAATCAAGAGTCTGGCATTTGAAGACAAACTTGAGTCTGGAGAAGCCCACTCTGTCGAGGTCACGGTCTCGGTCGGCAAACTTGAAGTCGTCTCTGGTGTTGAACTGATCGAAGAAACACTGGAAGCCGCAGTCTCCGTGGTTGAGCCGCAGTCTCCGAGTCTGTGAAGCTGCGAATGGCCGTTCTCTGTGGCGATTTGCCAGGCATCTGACCAGGCGTTTGTCACAGGTGTCAAGAACAATCAAACTCACATGCTGGGGATCGATGGTCTTGCCGCTCGATTTAATGAGGACTGATCAAGATTCATAGTACATTAGGCACTCCTCCTAACAAAGAACCCTATTTGGCCTCATAGTGATCCACAGGGTGACAACGTCACGAGGTCAAGTCGGTGGCCACCCAAGCTCAACATCCGTTGAAACAAAACACATACTTGGATGATACCAATCTTTAAGTTGCTACGCTTCCCTCCTGCAAGAGCGCGCAAGGATGTGAACTAGGTGGACGACTACAAAGGGTCAGTCCCTGCCTAAGGTGATTGCACCCATGCTGATTACAGGAATAAGAAAGAATTCTCACTTCGCGGTATCCTGAAATCAGGTGGTCATCCTTGGTCATTCTTGGAGCTCTTTGAGTGGAGATATCATTCTGATCTTGACTGCTGACCACCTGTGGCCACCTCCCGCGCCTGCAAAGCTCCTGAGCCATGCCGCCTCGTCGGCCGCGAAGTCCAACACGGCCGCTGCGGCTGGGCCGGTAGGCCGATCCTCCAATTGAACGATCCCTCAGTAATGCCCAGGAACAAAGTACTTGGTTTGGCATTTCAGCCTCCAGTCCCCCATGGCTACCCAAAAGACATGATAGTGATATGGGTGCGGTTTTATTTGGATAAGGTTTTTGCGTTGCGTTTGGTGATGTTTTTAGCGGTCGTGGTTTCTCTATAGTCCCTCCAGTGGAAGTGGAAAGCTAGCTGTTTGTAGAAGAATAACTGTCCAGGAGGCAATGTTCCATGTCCATGATGCTTTCAGGACGTCTAGGGTCTGGGTGCCACAAAAAACAACTGGACTAAACTGCTACTCCAGAAGCCCAGGTCGTGGCCCGAGTAGAGCAAAAACCAAAAACTTTGGCGAACAAACATGAGACAAGTGCATCATCATCGAGAATGGAGTGAAGAACGAAGGAGTTTTGTTTATATGATGCACTTGGGTTGCCCCTTGAGGTGAAACAAAGCACAACCAGCAGAGCCAAAAAACAAACAACAAGAGTAACAAAAGTATAGAAAGCAAGAAAAAGCAAGAACAACACAACACAAACTCAAGGCTTGGAAAGCAACCAAGACAAAGCGATGGTAACAAAGTCAATAGAAAGCAAAAACAAGACAACAATACGCCACAAGAAAACAAGAAGCAGGAAAAGCGATAAATTCAGGAGAAAAGCCAGGAACAGCAAGACAAGGGCAAAAGAAGCAGGAAAAGCCAGAAAAGCAGGATAAATTCTTGGGAAGCAACGAAAAGCAAAGGAAAAGCAAGGAAGAGCAAGACTCAAGCGCAAAAGAAGCAGGAAAAGGACGAAAAGCAGTAGAAATCACAGAGAAGCAATGAAAAGCAAAGGAAAAGCAAGGGTTCAGGTCCCCACGAGGAAGGCAACGATTCTGCACGGACTGGCTGCCAATTGCCCTGTATCAATTGCAACTAGCAACGCCAACAAATGTCAAAAAAAAGGTGATTGGTCCAAGTCCGTCCACAAGTCAATAGTTCAATATGGAATCCACAATCTTGCTACAAACAATATATATTGAGGAACATAACATCACTCCGCATTCCTGTCCTTGTCGCCGCAGTCATTGCGTGTTGCTTGTCTCCCGCAGCATTGGTCACGGTCCCCTCGACCTGGCGGGGAAACAGGCCGTCTTAGGATCTGTGCCTCTCGTCTCAACATGTCTCAACTAGGTCGGGTTTGGAATGGTTTTGGCTCTGTGGGTCGACCCACATCCGCCATCACCATGTGCCCGTGCACTGGAAACATCCTGCGGCCGCCCGGGCCCCCCACACCTCGGATCACGTTGCCGCCACAGTACTCGTTGCCGTTGTTGCGGACCGCGCCGTCGATCGTCCGGGCCGAAAGCCAAGCGCAACAGTTGTGCTCGTGCGCGCGGACGGGGCCGCCGTTGCCGCCACCTTCACCTGAATGCCCGGCAAGCCCTGATGGGGTGGTGGTCTGGGTGCTCTGGGTCACTGGTTGCTATGAGGCATACTATGAGACATATAGCCTTGAACAAACAACGACACAAATGACTCAGCGCCTCTCGTCTTGTGGGGGAAAAAGTGAACAAGTATGGCCCAAGAATACCAGGCCACTGAATGCCAAACAAAGGTCGGTATTCAACATCATCTCATGTCCGGCAACGCTGGTGTCTCTGCCAATGTCGCTTCGCTCCCACTGATTTTTGGCGGAATTCCCATTAATGGCAAGCTCTGGAAGCCAGCCCTTGGCAAGCAAGGAGACATAGTAGTTGTTGTTGAATTTTCTGGAATTCTCGGGATCACTCCACCAGCCATGGTATCCGGAGTTCTGCACCTGTTCAGCGCGTCTTCGGCTTTCAGGGTGACAACGGCTTCAACGGCTTGAAAAGGGAACTGAAGATTTCGGTTCCATGCTGTTCTTTGGGCAGCCCCAAGAAGAAAACAGTACACGGAAGTCGTTTTTCCTTCCATGATCACCTCTTGCCACTGGCTGGGACAGCAGCGTCACCCACTAGACCCCATCCCCCGATCACTGGGACATGCTGGGACCATCGTCCCCACGAGCCGGTTGGATCCGATGCCCAAGAGCAGCCAAAGGAGCAAAAGCCCAAACAAACAATTTCCTCTTACTTGCGCCAACAGCATCTCGCTTGTGACTAGTGATCCATTCCTAATTGGCAACTTCAGCTGCCCATCGGGTGGTCAGCACAGAAATCTGGGACCATCCAAACAAACAAACAAAAACAAACAGAACAACGCGCCCTGCTTCCCAGACTATATGTTCTTGCCACGGGCATAACAAACCGCCCGCAAACTCGCCGGTCTCTCAATATGGACGATGACACCGAATTCGACTGACAATACACAGTCTCTCGTCGAGTCGAACTATATGGCATACTATGGCGCTGGATCAAGAACACCGTCCCCTTCCACCCAGTCTTAACCACACGCACATCCATTCTGCCGACAAAGAATGGTGGGTGCGCCTGCGCACGTCCCAAGGTGTGCACACCCATGAGTGCTGCTGCTTGGGTCCAAGTGAGGCCCATCCTCGTCACGAAGGTCTCTTCCACCGCCGTGCAGCCCCGCTCTGGATCCGGCAACCGGCCTACGGCGAAGTCGCAGGAGCTGGCGGTCCTGAAGAGGAAACGGGGCGTCCTGGACGCACCGAATCAAACCATCAGACTGGCAGAGACACAACGGGATAGAGCAGGGGTCCAAGATGTTTGGATATTTTGTTCGTTGGCCCTTGCAACCCTATGTTA